GTGGTTGCGCAGGCGGTGACGCAAGACGTCTTGGTGGCACCCATCGCAAGTGCTGAAGTGGCGGCTTTAGCACTTTGCGTTTGCGATGAGACCTCTTGCGCCACCGCGTTGGCCAACCAGGGCCACCACGACATTGCGATCCAACCGAGCGCACAACATAATGTTAGCTGTAAGGGGAGAACCACATTGGATATAGTCGGAGTGAACTCATCAGTGCACAATTCTCCGGAGCTGCATCACACAAAGCTCTACAAAATTCAAGTGTCCAAACAGTTCAAAATTGTAACCTCTTCTACCAGTATTATAGCCAATCGTGTGTAAGAAGCAAGGTGTGATGGACTCTGATTGGATATTAAAAAGGAGCAAGGTGGCTCACCTTGCGAATTCCATTAACAAGTCAATTAATATAATGTCCTTCAAAATAGTTAACAGTATACCCAAAAACTAAATACGTAAAATACCGATTTCATGCGTTTTATCACTGTTAAAGGTCCCAACTGCCTCCGGATATTATATACGGCTAAGAGCCACATACAATAATCAAGATACATCTCAGCGGCCACCCCTATGGTCAAATATCCATGAGCCCATGTAAAATACCGGTTAAATATCTATTTCTGGACTATTTGGGGCATTTAGTTAATAGGGATAAACGATGATTGGGACGAAGGTTGACCATGCAGCCACCCTGACGACCGCATAAACAGCGGGATCGTCAATTTATCACCACTACTAGTGAGAATTAACGTTTGTGAGTCTCCGATTTGAATCCAGCTTCATCGAGCTGGCGGATAATTGAGTTTGGATTATCATTTTTTAAGACATTCCACCGCCAGGGCCGATACTAGAACCACATGTTGTGGAGCCGCTTCGCCAATTATAACGCGCTATTCCTCGTGCTTCAACCGATCTTCTTCGAAGTTCGGTCCTGGTCTTCGTACACAGCCCTTGTTATCCGGAATCCCCCGGGGAAGGACAGATACATGTAAATCCTTGCGGAAATAATCCGGGGAAGCCGGAGATCGAACCCACGCCTTTGAGTTTAAGAAACCGATGCTCTACCACTGAGCTATTTTCCCTCCCCTCAAGCTGGTCGTGATACGGGTAGTAGAATTGTAGGACAAGCTCAACCTTCAATGCTGTACTGCAACTCGTAAATGATAAAATGTAAAAAGTACAGTCATCGGGGGATTTAAAATTCGCGTCGATTTGGTCGTATATCAAAGAACAAGTTTGTGAACAAGGCCGTGGATGCTCGTTTCCAGTCCGTTGAATGCAGCTCGTCATTTGTGAGGGGTAGCAATGCGGGTAATTGAATGAATCGCCGAGAAGCCTTTGCCACTGCCGATCGCTTTGGCCAGCCAAGGCTTTTCGTCACCATCACGCCAAACATGGACGGCACAATCACTTTGGCGTATTTGGCAAGAGGCGTCCACATCAAATTGCTGTTTGATGTAGAGTAACTCAAGTACATGCCTCACAAAGCAACCATACAGCAACGTGCGATGAACGACAATATAGCGTCCGCAACTCTGTTAGATCAAAGCATCGAGGCATTCATCAACGCCGTTGTCGGTTTTGACAAGACTACCGGTCGAGCGAGAAAGGTTGGTGGGCTATTCGTCCATGTCAAGGCGTACTTTGGAATGGACGGCTTTGGAAACCGGCGCAAACTATAAATTGCGCCACCAAAATCATCCAGATTTAAAATTCAAAGGCGGCGCAAAATTGGGTGAGGTCAGAAATGAGCCTCATGAAATTTGAGCCGCATCACCTGGACTATAATTTTCGGGTATATATACAAATTATGTGTGATCAACTAAGGGTGTGATGAAGCGCTGGTGGTTGTGGCTGGAGCTGCTGGACGACGACGATGAGGGCGTTAACACACCCGACAACATCCGTACATCCGTATGTACCGCGCAAGGATGTCATTGAAATATCGACATTACCTTACCCAGGATATTCTTGTTCAACCAAACGAAAGTCCATGGATGACGATATATGCATCACTGGGGGAATGCGCGTTCATTGCGATGCCCCTCGGTGGAAACCACTGGGAAGAAGTGCAGACCGAGTGTAAAAATGCAAGACAGTCCAAAGCTTGGTGCTTGTACAGTACATAAGCTTTGGCGGTCACCCTGACTTTCCGTTGCCGGACTTGCATGTGTAGTGTTTCGAGAATACTCGGAGGAGGTCGTGAAACGCATCGGGCGGTAACGAGATGGAATGTTTCTCAATGCAGTCCAGTAACATTCCAGTCTCAGGAGAGCTCCATCCTTTGCCTCTTCCTTTGGTCCCATAAGAATCAACAATGATAACAAGGATTAGTGTTTTACTTTTGGAAGCCACTGATTTCTAGCCAATGATATGTTGATATATACGCCGGTTTCTGTGAACCATTCTTTGTGTGGGTGAAATTTTATTCATGGTTTGTCCGGATTATTTTGAGCCAGTGCAGGCGCAAATTCTAGTTTGCGCCGGTTTCCGAAGCTGTCCAATGGTTGAGACCCAAGGTCGAGGGACACTTTCTTGTACCTGCTTGCTTGGGTTTATGACGCTCCATGGTCCACGTCCGAGTTCGAGGCCAGATTGCAGGCCGATCCCAACTATGAAGCGATGGTGTGAAGTACTCTGATGATATTGTGTCCAATGAATTACCCCTAGACCTCCTTCAGACCTCATGCAAGTCATGTGAGGATGTGGATACCAAGTATGAAGGGCTCGATCCTCCCTCAACAGCCTTCGAAAAACCACGTCGCTCAGAAGGCGTCCTTCCGAAAGAGCCCATATTGTAATGCTGTGGTCAGCTCCCTGCACTTGGTTCGTCAAGCCCTCCTGCACTCGAGGTCTACACTGTGGCCTGTGGAATTGCCCAAGCTTTTTCAGCCTGCAATTGACAAGTACTTGGACGCTGAAGCATCGTTTTTGAAGTCTACAGCTGGAAAGAGGTATGATCCCAGCGAGAGCATGAACACATGCATGCGAGCTTCCAGGCTTACCTAGCTGGGACTGTCCACATGGAATCCAACGTCGACTACAAGATCTTCTGGCTGGTGCACGAAGAGTTCAACACAGCTTCGATACGTGAAAACAACGAGAAACCCCATAAAAATAAAATAGTAGATATTGCATGCGAAAAAATAATAAAGACTAGAAAAAGGACGTATTGTGATCTTTCCTAAGCAGAGATTCGCCTCATACTCCAGCAAATCTCGAATTCTAGCGTGCGTATACGCAAGTGCGCATTCAGATGATTAGATCGAGAGTGGCAAATACGTCCTCCGAGAGCATCAGTGAGAACACCTCCGTTTAGTCCAAATATGAGAGTGTTGATGAAATAAAAAGGTGCTGGTAGTAGCACAAGGTGTCACAATCACATACACCATGTGCTAGTTTTCATGTGTCTGCGCCCTTGTCACTAGCTGTTGAAACGCATGCTTTGGTATGTCCAAGTGATTGTCACCATTCTTCACAAGTATTGCGTTTCGCTCGACAATCAAGAACCACTACGTCCATACTAGACTTTCCTATACCCAAGACACAATTAGTTCACAGTGTCGCTTGCGTACTTGCACGGGAACCATACTCATGACTTGCACATGGACCATAGGACATACTTGTCGTAGAGAATGTATCTTCTTTACTTGAAAGTTTCGAGGCGCACCCTGTGGTGTCGTCAATATAACTTTGGAATCGCTGATCGTAGTAGGTGTCGGCCACTCGTCTTGCAATTGCAATACCACATGAATCGTCAAGTGAACGATTTGAACACGGTGATTCGCCTAACCTGAACCCCATCGACGCAGGAGGTCACGTGACACATTCGTGACTCCCAAGGCGTGCTCAATAGTGCAGAACAGGATCAACCTGACCAACACCATTGCTGTGCATTTTAATTTCGCCTTGTTTTCGTTCGAAGCAAAAGGTAAGCACCAGATTTCGATTACACGTAAACAAACGGAAGCCACAGGTAGACGAGTATCATGCGCGACTCGTCGAAGAGGCAGGACTCCTTTTCGATGATGTGCCAGCGCGCACTTGTGGCGAAAATAACTCAACGCATAGTGGTAAGCAGTTGGTGTCTCTTGTTGTTGAGTTGAAATTCAAGATCCTTGAGTGGCACTGGTGTGGCGACCTCGCCCTAGAACAAATCGCCTAATATGATGCAGACCATTCTGCCTTTTCTGCCTTCCTATGGGTGCGACATCCATTACATGCGCCAATCCGGGTTTCACTTGATGAAACTATGAGTAAAATGCACATACTACCTCTCCTTTGGGACTTTGACTATCACTAAACTACCAATCACTCCTCAAATCATATCAACTTGCCTTCATGTCGAATTTGCTTGGCTTGATTAGAGCACCTTGGCAACCTGAATCGTTTTAGCCAACCGAAATTGATTTTGATGCTCCAGCAGCACATTGTGCTACTGTAGTACGTACTTCTATGCAGAAATTGCTAAAAAAATGGTGAGTACCCGAGGAGACTGTACCCAAATCGTAAGTGGTACTATTAATATAGTATACAGTGCAATAGAATTGTGTTCCTAGATAGGAGCCTTCTCCGAAGCCTCACCCATGAATAACCTATTTAACGCATATTTAATCTTGACGTTTGTATACTTTGAAGCAGGGTTAAAGGATTCTGACTCCTGCTAAACCCTGTGTTTATCCTGTGTACGTGGAATCAAACGTTAAACATCTACGAATGAATCCATTGACTGTGAATTCGCCTCGAAAATCTGCCTTGGCACATTATGCTTACAATATTTTCTTAAATTTAAGGATCGAATTGTTCGGGCGGGGTACAGTATGATGACTTTTGACACCCACTGTACATGTAGTCAAATTCGATGGCTACAGTACAATTCTGAGACCTCTTACGCAACTACTAGTGCAACTTTAGGATAACTTTGACTGTGAACTGCTGGACAGCACCAATAGAAACTAGCACACAAACCTGCCTGTGTGTGCATTTCTATTTAACTGTAAGAAGAACTCACTGAGTTCATGGTTAAAATGGTGCAGCGCTACTATTCGAGAACTTGACAGCACCAATAGAAACTAGCACACAAACCTGCCTGTGTGTGCATTTCTACTACCTCTGTTCGGAAATAAATCAAACAATCAGAAAAAATGGAAAATGAAGAGCAACACAAAAAATGCTTGAATCTACAAACATGTCCGGATAGAGGTGACAACAACGAATCCAATCGCAGTGCTTTCCCACCAAAATTCCACCAATCATATATGGCCGTCACGTTTGAATATTTAATAGATTGTTTCATATTAAATCGTTATCCGGATAGCCGGTTACGTATAATACCAGTGTATCCGTATGATTGACTCGAGATCAACAGCTCAGTTTGAAATATGCGCGCGTCACCGAAAGCCAACTTAAACAACGACCAGCGCCAAAGCGTTCTCCACCTGCTCCTGGTGTGCCTTCGGGAAGGCAAATTGCCTCACGGCTCGTTTCAGTTTGTCGCTGGGAAGTTCGGCGTCACTCGCTCCACGATACGCTTGATCTGGCTACGCGCACAGGTCGACTTGAACAATGTCCAGCGCATCTGCGAAAGCGTAGCGTTACAAAAGGTTAAGTGTGGACGTAAATTGAAATATGATGACATTTCTTCTCGACTTAAGGAGCTGCCAAAAACCTCACGCACAATGATCGTGCGCCGTCGCCGCTGGACTTGGCATCCCCACGACAACCCTCCACGCGTACTACAAGCGTGGCGCCATCGTCTAGTACTCCAGCTACGTCAAGCCCGCGCTGACGGATGCCAACAAGGTGCGCGTCTGAAGTGGGCTCTCGACCACGTCATCGGCGGCTAGTCGCTGCACTTCAAGAACCTGATGGACACCGTCCACATCGATGAGAAGTGGTTCTACATGACGCGCATCAAGCGCATGTTCTACTTGGCTCCTGGGGAGAAGCCGCCTCATCGGAAGTGCAAGTCCAAACGCTTCATCACGAAGGTGATGATTTTGTCGGCTGTGGCGCGTCCGCGGTGGAACAACAACACCGGCGAGTGGTTCGACGGGAAGCTCAGGACATGGCACTTCACCGAGATGGCTCCTGCAATGCGCTCCAGTCGCAATCGTCCTGCAGGCACGATGGAGTTGAAGACGAAGAACGTCGACAAGACAGCGTACCGTTAAATGCTCGTCGACAACGTGATTCCAGCAATCCGAGCGAAATGGCCGGCTGGAGAAACGAAGTGCGTGAACATCCAACAAGACAACGCGAGACCGCATGTGTCCGCCAAGGACCCAACTGTGGCTGCAGCGTGCAAGGCCGATGCGTGGGACATGGAGATTGTGTGCCAACCACCGAACTCACCCGACATGAATGTGTTGGATCTAGTATTCTTCCGCGCCATTCAGACCCTACAAGAGCGTCACAACTGTCGGACGGTGCAAGACGTTGTGGCCGCCACAGAGGCTACGTGGAACGAAGTCAGCATGGAGACGCCGGACAGCAACTTCATGACGCTGCAGTCGTGCCTACAAGAAGTGATCAAGGCTGCCGGTGACAACAACTACAAGATCCCACACATGGGAAAGAAGAAGTTGGCCTTAGCCGGAAAGCTGCCCGAGACTGTCGCATGCGACCCTACTGTGTTCAATGACGGCTGCACCCGACTTGGTGAAGAAGACATCGACAAGAGACTCCGAGTCCTATCGCAAGAAATTGCGGAGGCCTTGGAAATGGCGGAAATTTGCAACCTGCTTGAGGACATGGGATTGTGACATAATTAAATACACTTTCTTGCATACTTAATTATAAATATTTTTTTGACAGCTCTGCGTCAAAATTTGTTTGATTTATTTCCGAACGTCAAGTTTTGCGATTGTTTGATTTATTTCGGAACAGAGGTAGTATTTAACTGTAAGAATAACTCACTGAGTTCATGGTTAAAATGGTGCAGCGCTACTATTCGAGCATTTGATAACTTCAAACACGACTAAGTAAAATCTACAGATCGCAGGTTACTTGAGTCGAAAAATCTAAATCGAACGTCCATTGTCAATTCTAACGTGGTGGCACCAATGAAACAGGCAAATGGACTCCACTTATAGTACTGTAGCTGCCATCGAGTGTCCTTCCCAAGGTCAGCTTTCAATGCTCATCACACTATGCCTATCTACTCCATAGTCGAATGTGGCTACCACCATATATTCTACAGGAGTGACTCCTGCTCTGTCAAGGGTTCACACTAGAGCGACATGGGTACGCATTATTTCCGAGCAAGCGATGGATTATTTCCGAGTGAGGCCTCCGAATGGAGGAATTTCGAGCAACATCGAACCATAGGGAGACTTTCCGAGCGTACTTAATAGGGCATACCAAATCAGGTACTGTCCTGAGCATTACTTTCGTCCATATGTTTCTAAATTACCCGTTCCAACACATTTTTACCAAGCCGACACCCGTAGTCCTGGAACCTCGGAACCCCGATATCCCATAGCCCTGTAACCCATTAATCCCTAAATCGCGATGGATACATTTAATGCTCATTCTCCTGGGTTATGCACATCGCTAGTGGTTAAATTTAGCTATCGCTAACCCCCGCCAATGAGCACAACCCCAAGTACCATGTGAGAGAGGTTACTACATAAGGTATTTTCATTATCATATGTCGAATTTTACTCGGAATTTATCGGAAGGAAAAAACTTGTATAAGTTCCTATTAAGTACGCTCGGAACGTGATTCTGAGGCCTCGCTCGGAAATAATCTTTTTCCGGGCGACATACTGTACATGTGAGCTTACTGTACTTCCACAGCACGGTTATACACTAGGTGTCCCCAGTTTGACTTGGTTGCCACGAATGTTGTACTATAGCAGTTAAATACCTTATAGAACAAGATGCATCGTTCATGTATCGGTTTGATCGCAAGTTGTTGAGGACGTAGTCGCGTTTTGATCCTAGCTTTGATCAATTTGTTTTGTCATACCATAAAAATTCCGACGTGAGAATGGATTCGTTCAGACATCCGGTTATGGATACGTATAAGCAATATGATTGGTCTTAACAGGTTCACTTCTCATTGTGCAATTTGCAGCCACATATCCATTGCTAATGTGCCGCCTCTGGTGCCCACATTGCTGTGTGCGTTACTTCTGGATAAGCGCTGCCCCCGTCTCCGCTGCATATACCCGCCTCCGCTGCATGTCATCGCCGCCGTCGCCGCTACTGTCTCCCTCCACCTTTCGTGCCTCGTACCGCTATCTCATCGAACTAGTCTTGCCACGGTAAAGCCATGTCCGATTCAAAAATGGATATCAATTAGTGCATTACTTCACAGCAACGAATAGAGTTTATGTCTGTATTTTTGCCTATGAACTCAGAATTATATGAGACTTCCTATGAGAGATGCAGAATTCAATGACAAATCCACCTGTGTAATCGAAACTCTCTGGAAACGAATATCCTTCAAAATATTACCGAAAAACAAACTAACAGTAAACTTACTCTGATTTTGACCTTGTCATCATATAACCTGTAACATCTTATACATTTGAGTATTAAATTCGAAAGGTTTAGTTTATCAAGGACTCACAGTACCTTCCACTTTCCATTCACTGCCAAGACTAAATATACCAGTAGTTTGATGGATATTGCGCCATTGCAGTGGTTACATGTATTCATAGCAATGGCTGCAAAGCTATGGCTTCGCGGTAGCACTTTCATTTATTCATTCACTCACCACTCGATGGATACTACAGCAAAGGATTGCATGACATTCGTCAAGATGGCACGGCCGCGTACTCTCACTTGCGAGGAGCGCCTTGACATCTTGCGCTTACTGGCGTTCTACAAAAGCCAAGGGGATAAGACAGGTGCCAAACATGTTTCAGAGGCACTCGGGAGGAACATTGCTGTTGTGCGTGGTGTGTGGAAAGAGTACTGCAACTATGGAACAGTCACCCAGGCTCAACCTGCTGCCAACAGGTCAACTCACCCATTACGGGTCCCACGCACAACTGAAAACGTTACACTAGTCCAGGAGTTCGTACGTGATCGCCGTGCCACGCGCACACGAACGACAGCTGTCAATGTGATGACCTACAGTCTGATGCAAAACGTTAAGACACCAAGTATATTTGAGCTATCTCATTGAATATCAAAGGACATTCACTTATGAAGGTAGTGTTTGATTCACCATGAAAAGCACAGCGTAGCAAGACTAAAACGACACAATTTGGATACAAAATGTAAGCGATATTCATAAAAAACTGTTTCGATACATGTGCAAAACGTTAAAAACATGATAGAAATCTTCCCGCCTAACACGAATTCAAACGAAG